CATCCCCTCTGGGGGGTGATTTCTCGCTTCCTGTCTCTATGTCTCTCTCTGTCTGTCTGGTGAGCGCACGCACCCTATAGCAAAAACCTCTCCAAAAAAAAAAAAAAAGAAAAATATGTTAAGAGAACTTTGCTTAAGACTTAAAGCCAGGAAACAGGTTAGGATTCTATTCAAATAGTAGGTATGTAGACCTGTCAACAACTCAAGAGAAGACAAAAATCCTTAACTCTGGAAAACAAAGCATAGAAGGAAATCAGCAATGTTTTAGTTAAAAGTCATAAAATTCTATTTCACCAGTTCAATATCATGTACTTTATCTTCTGTCTTGGTACAACCTTTCCGGTTAAATTCTGGAAGATAAAATTCAACTTGTGATTTGGCCCTATCATTCGGTTGGCCATTTTCTTAGTTGTTTTTGGACTCTTATTTCTGTGTGTCTGACTTTAGTTTTTATGGTATAGCACTCCCTTCAGAGCTTCTTGGAGAGTTGGTCTGGTGTCGGTAAATTCTTTCACGTTTTGTTTATCTGAGAATGTTCTTGTCTTCTCTTCTCATATGAAGGATAATCTTGCCAGGGATAGTATTCTTGGCTGAAATTGTTTTTCACATAACACTTAGGATATATTTCCCCATTCTTTCCTCGCTCGCATTGTTTCCAATGAGATGTCTGCCGTTAGCCTGATGGGATGTCCTTTGTAGGTAATTTAATGGTTCTCTCTTGCCAGCCTTAGTATCTTGTCTTTGTGGTTTTGGTCAATCTGGCTATAATGTGTCTTGGAGAAGATCTTCTTGAGTTGATTCTATTTGGGTCCTTTGCATTTCTTGAGTCTGGATCTTTGAATTCCTCTCTAGGTTTGGAAAATTTTCTTTCAGGATTTCATAGAATAGATTATCAATGCCCTTATTAGTCTCTTTACCTTCTGGGATACCGATTATCTTGATGTTTGGACATCTAATGGTATCTAGTATTTCTCGTGTGTTTTTCTCATTTTGGGGGCTATTTTCTTAGCTTTCATGGTGGACTTTTCTAGTCTAGTGATTCTGTCTTCTACATCTGAGATTTGATCTTCTGTGTGATCTGGTCTGCTTTTAATACTGTCAAGGGAAGTTTAGACTTCCTGTATTATAGCCTTCATCTCTAACAGTTCCATTTGATTCTTTTTTTATGGTGTGTATTTCTTCTTTCAGATCATGTAAGAACTTCCTCACCTCCTGGAACTTGTTGGCTCTTTTCTTCTGCCTCTTCTGGAGTTCAATGTCTTTCTTCTCTTGCATCTCTGTAAGCTTTGTCACTATGAATATTATAAATTCTTTATCAGACATTTATGCAAGTTCCATTGTACTGACTGTGGATGAAGAGGACTTATTCTTTTCCCTTGGGGGAGAGATATTTTCTTGGTTTCTCATATTTCTTGTGCCTTTGCGGTGATTTCTGGTCATCTGATGAGTTCCTTCTAATTTGTAGAAGTTCAGTCTGAGTGTTCACAGGTGTGCAGGAGGAGGTAAAAATATGGAATGCTTCACTAATTTGCATGTCATCCTTGCACAGGGGCCATATTAATCTTCTCTGTATCGTTCCAATTTTAGCATATGTGCTGCTGAGGTGAGCACGTGGTGTTTGTTTTTTGAAGGGTCCAGAGTAGATTTGTCTAGATTTGTCTGACTGTGTAGAGTGGATAGTGTGTTACACTCAATGCTTTATTCAGGAAGCATGTCATATCAGGTTGTCCCACTGCTGGTGATATTGAGTTTGGTCAAGGCTTTGGGTCTCAGGTTGACCACTGTGAAATTGCATTTTCCCCTTTGTGGAGACAGTTTGTCTCTGAGTTGATATCTTCAGGCCCTGGGAACGTCCTGGTCCCCAGCACTTTCACTCAGTGGTCTTAGCACCCAGTGATGATCCTTGTCTGTAGTTACCATAGCAGGGCTTCCTGAATGGTAATAGTTCTCATTCTTTCGATGCTTTCAACATGTGTTAGGTGGCATTCTAATGTAAGAAAATATTTCCATGGGGCTGGCAGATGGCACGGTGGTTAAGATGCTGGACTCCCATATTGTTGACAGTGGTTCGAGTCCCAGACCTGGTGGCTTGCTTTCTCACTCCCGCCTTCCTGTCCTGGTCAAAATTAAAAACAAACAAACAAACAAACAAATAAATAACATTAAATAGATAATTTAAAAAAGTCATTTAAAAAACAGAAATAATGCATTTTCTTCTTTAGCTTCTGTCTTTTTTAGTATCACTAGAGGCCTGTTGCCTCCTTTCACCATGCATAATCTGTTACCATCACTTTCCCTTTTAATGTCCAAATTTTCCTAAATTTGGCCAGGTGGAGGCACATATGGCTGGTTCCTGTGTCCTCTGGAGAGTGATTCATAGTCTCCAAGCCCTAACGTGCTTTCTGGTGCAATCTTAAACTTTCCCTGCTTCAGTCCAGGGTGAGCTGTTTCTCCCAGAATCCCCGGTTCCTCTTCCTGGTGAACGGTATCTGGGAGCCACGCCCTGGCCTTGGCGTCTGTAACTGTGAGGGTCTTCTCACCTGGTTTGGGCAGGTACAGTACCAACGAGGGGGAGACCTGGAAAACATTCGTCTTCTCTGAGAAGCCGGTGTTTGTGTATGGCCTCCTTACGGAACCTGGGGAGAAGAGCACCGTCTTCACCATCTTCGGCTCCAACAAAGAGAATGTCCACAGCTGGCTGATCCTCCAAGTCAATGCCACAGATGCCCTGGGTAAGCTGCTGGCTCCTCGGGGTTTACGGGCCCCTGTTGTGTGCAGAGCACCAGCTCATACCCCGTGCTCTCAGAAGATAATCCGCTGGGGGGCGATGGGCACGTGCATACACATTAGCGTAATCCAGGGAGGTGAGTGAGAGTGCTTTCAGTTCTTGGTAGGACTGCATCTCGTTCTTTTGTTTATTTTTCTTGTATAGTTCCTTACATATAGCACATTTAAATATATGGCTTAGGGGCCAGCAGGTGGCGCGGTGGTTAAGGCATTGGACTCCCACATGGCCAACCTCCTGAGTGCTTGCCGGGCAGCCGCAGGTGGACAGGAGGTAGGGGTCTGGGCTGGGGGGGCAGGAAGGACAGGAAAGCCACTCAGGTCTGCCTCTCATGTCCACGCTGAATTTCTTTCTCCTCAGGGGTCCCCTGCACAGAGAATGACTACAAGCTCTGGTCACCGTCTGACGAACGGGGGAACGAGTGCTTGCTGGGACACAAGACTGTTTTCAAACGAAGGACGCCACACGCAACGTGCTTTAACGGAGAGGACTTCGACAGGCCGGTGGTCGTGTCCAACTGCTCCTGCACGCGGGAGGACTACGAATGGTTGGTTGTTCTTTCAAAGCCGGAGAACTGAGCCGTGTTTGAGTTGTATGGGGAAATGGACTAGAGCGTGGTCCCTTTCCCTGAAAAAAGGAAAGGGATAGAAAGGAATAAATTGTTATTTTTTAACAACTTAGGAGGTTTTTGTTATAGGGGATATGCACTCACTAGAGAGAGAGAGAAAGAGAAATCACCCCTGGGGGATGGCCATGCCGTAATCCCTTCTCCTCCATTCTCCCGTTGGGATTTTGGACACGCATGCACATGTGCCTGGCGTGAGTTTTAAGCTGCTGGGTCCAGGACTCAAACTGCAGTTGATTATCCGGGAGTCCAGGGATGTAACCAGTACGCCATCTTCTGGTCCCAATCTTTATTAAGCATCTTCTAAGTTGCATGCTTAGCGCTCACAGCCATGTGGTGCGGTAGAGGTGTTCGGAGCCCGGGGACGCTGTGGTACTTGATTCAGTTAAATAGGTCTGGGAGTGATTTCAATGGCGGTAACCTGAAATGGGAAAAGGCTGAAGGTTCCGTCGTGGCTAACTCCTTTTCCTTAGGACTCCTATTCTGGAGGGGGTTTCTTTCTTTATCTGAAATGAGGCGATGTTAGTGTATTTCTTGCACCATTTGTTATTCCTTCAGCCAAATCTCCAAGGCGCTGCAGGAAATGCTAAAGCAGAGGCAGCACGTGTGCACTAATACTGGTGACGGGGTGGCGGGGACGGAGAGTGGCAGGTGCCCTGGAGGAGGAGTGGGAACGTTTATTGTGCTCATCGATAGGGAGGCGAGGGCTGTGACCGGTCGGGGACTCAGGACACTGTTGGCGAAGCACTGTTGGCATGGGCTTTAAAGGGGTGCCTGAACATGTGGGTGGACGCATCCGTCAACCACCACACTGTGAAGGTGTGGAGGCGGGGAAGTTGGTGGTTGAGTTTGGGTGCCTCGTTAGGGTTATGAAGCAGGTGCAGTGAGTGGGGTTGAAAAGGTCGGCACTGCTGTGGGTGGGCCCCAGGGTGTAGATCTTATTTTATAAGCAGGAGGGGGGCTTTGAAGGCTTTCGAGGAGAGGTGAAGCTCAGTGGAATGCATGGATCTTGGAGCCTGGAATTCAGCGTGGACCGTTAGTAGTCATGGATCAGCCCTGGGTATCCGTGGAGCAGGGGTAGTGAACGCACACACGTCGTTCCTATTTCAGTCATCACTGAGGTGCACAGGGCAGCCATGTTTGCCTCCACTGAAAGCCGAAAGCTTCTGACGTGTTCTAGACTGGAGGTTGGAGCTGGGCTCTGTGGTGAATGTGCTGGGCTTTGCAGCTGGATGGTTTCCATGGTGTCTATCGGCCCTGCTCCGCTAGGCCCATGGTGGCACCCACAGGTGAACGAATGCAGCTGTGGCTGAGTGGGTGTGGCCATGAGTCAAGAAAACCTTATTGACCAACATAGCCAACCAGTCGTGACCCTGTCTGCTCCGGGTGCTTCTGAAGCTTGAGTGTGTGGGTGTTTCGCCTGGGGTTTTGTGGACATGCGGATTCTGCCCCCAGTGTTCTGGTTCCAAGTTCCCAGGTGGCATGGAAGGGACTTAGCGCACACACCAGGCTGAGACCTTACAGGACGCTCAGCCCTGTAAGAGCTGTGTGCTTCCAAGGCTGCCCCATGACACTTCCGCGGCAGCAGCACAGAGCAGAATGAGCCAGTGACAGCAGCTCAGGGCTCATTGCCTTCCCCTGCTCTGCATAGACACCCCAGGGTTGTAATTCCAGTCTGAGAGCCTCATGGACCTCAGGTAGTCCTGCCTGGATTGGCTTGAGACTGTTGAGGCTGTAATTCCTGCAAAGATTATAGCACCCCCTCACCCCTCTTTCTGGCTCCAGTAAGTACTTGGAAGTAAAATAAAGGCTACATTAAAAATGTGTAAGAAAATCCAGCAAATCTTTGGGTTGTTGCTTTCATGACTGCTATGGGGCTATTAAGAAAATTAACAAACATGGGACAAATGACATAGTGGTTACGTCACTGGACTCCCACGTAGTCGACCTCAATGTGAATCTCAGAACCAGCAGCTTAAAACTCACACTGGGCATGTGTGTGCCCAAAGTCCTGAGAGGAGAATGGAGGAGAAAAGATTGCAGTGTGGCCATTCCCCTGGGGGGAAGGGGTAATTTCTCACTTTCTGTCTCTGTCTCTCTGTCTCTCCAGCCACACACCCTATAGCAAATATCTCTCAAAAAAAAAAAAAAAAAAAAAAAAAAAAAAAAAGCCTTCTTCCCCCCCAAAAATAAAAGGCAAAAAAACGTCACTTGATGTGCTTTTCTGGGTTAGCCAGCCAGGCTCCTCCTGGTTACCTCACCTGCTCCATCTGGCTCGCCAGCACCTGCTGGGTGCCCAGCCTTGCTATGTACTGAGTCTTTTTACTACAGAGCAGGAAAAGCCCCCGCTCTGCCCTTAGGGAGTGGGGCTGCAGGCCAAGTGAGGCCGTGGGGCCAGGGCACTGAGAGAAGGTTTGAGGGTGTGGATTTCAGGCCACGCTCCGGTGTTCCCTGTTTGCTGTCGCTGCTGGGAAGGAGCTGACATGACTCTTAGAAGTATCTGGTGAGATCGAACTCCTGGGAATGGTCCCAAGATGGGCAACAGGAGATGAGATGGGAAGGGGTGAACTCGTAGTGCCTGCCCATTGGTTCAGCCACCTCTGCCGACAGTGTTAGAAAATCAGGTTATTCTGATAGTTTTCCAGAAGAGGTGGGGAAGCTCAGCCATCGTCCCACATGTACTTTGATTTTCAGAGTAGTTTCTTTTACTCCTTTGTATTTCCCCACTTTGCCAGATGTGTGGCTTTCAGATTTTTTTTAATTTTAATTTATTGGGGAGGTTTTTGCTTTAGGGCACATGTACTCAAAGGAGAGAGAGAGAGAGAGACAGTAAGAGGGAAAGTGAGAAATCACTCCCCAGGGGGATGGCCACGTTGCAATCCCTTCTCTTTCATTCTCCTCCCGGGATCTTGGGCACGTACACACATGTACCCTGCATGAGTTTGAAGCCACTGGGGCTGGGACTTGAACTGTAGTTGGCCATGTTGGAGTCCAGTGATGTAACTGCTATGCCATCTGCTGGCCTCCGGATTCTTGAGGACAACCCCTAGTGAGTGATACGTTTATATTATGATTCCATACCGACACACATACATACCTGTGGGTGCGTATGCACATGGAATTAAACTTCTGTTTTAATTTCATGGGATGACACTTTTATTTTATTTTATTTGTTTATCTTTAAGGCATGTGTGCTTAGGGCATGTGCGCTTACCAGATAGAGACTGAAAGAGACAATGAGATAGAAAGTGAGAAGTCACCCCCCAGGGTGGATGACCACGCTGCAGTCTGTTCTCCTCTGTTCTCCTCTCAGGATTTTGGGCACACACGCATACATGCCCAGCATGGTTTTCAAGCTGCTGGGCCCAGGACTTGAACTGCAGTCAGTCGTGTGGGAGTCTAGCACCTTAACCACCACGCCATCTGTTGGCCCTGACACTTACTTTGAAATGTGTGATGCACTTTGCAATCTTGTCTTTTCTGCGGGGAGGAGAGGAAGCTGGTCTTGGCCTGCCACGGTGTTTTCACAGTCCCTGGGCCTGGACCGATCGTGGAAGGGGGCTGTGGAAGAAGGGGGCTTTGCTACTGAAGGCAGATTAGCAATGAGCTGAAGACCTGCCGAATGCCTCCACCGATTTAAAGTAGCCGCCCCGTAAAAATGTTTTAATGAACGAGACCACAGGGAGCATTGATAGAGCATTAAACCTACAGTCTTTCGAACAATTCTCTACTGTGATTGCTAACTGTGGATTATGATGTAACAAGCACCAGCCGCTTCGCCCTGTATCGGCGATACCTTTCACTCAGGAAATGGTTAATAAACATTCGCCGAATTGAGTAGAATAAAAGAAGCATTTCCAGCAGAGCGCGGCACATGGACCTTTGGAATGACAGAGCTTGCCGTTTGGTCAGGGCCTCGGGAAGCGTCTGGTGCCGTGCCTCATTCAGAATTGTCACGGGTGGTCTGGAGAAAGCGCAGAGCCGGGGTTCGACCGCGGTCTCCTGCTTCGTAGCCCAGGTGCTGCCCGTCGAGGTGGGAGGTGTGGCAGACATCACATCCCTGCTCCCAGGAGGGCTTGTGACCCAACTGCTGTACCCCACGGTGGTTTAGGTGGCCTGGACGTGGGCTCGTGTGACGGCACATTCTCAGTCAAAGTATTTTTATCAAAGGGTTACTTGAGGGAGCCGGGTGACGTCACAGTGGCAACACAACTGAACCCCCGTGGAAAGGGTCCTGGGCTTGTATCCGGGGCCTCCCTGGGCCAGGCATGTGCCCCTGTCCTCCGGATCCTGGCTGGCCAGGGCTTGGGTGGGTCCTGGAACGAGGGCCTTGCTGGGAGTAACTGTCTTTTTCTGTCTCTATTTCTTTCTCAGTCTCTCTCAGAAGAGAGGGTACTAATAATTCTTTAACATGTGGTAGTCTCCCCTGCCCCGTTTTTTTTTAGAGAATTATATATTTATTTATTAGGTTGTCGGCAAAGTCATGACATACTTGATGACCCAATATTATTGTCGTTATTTTTAAAAATATATTTGCTATAGGGCATGTGCGTTCCGCAGAGGGAGACAGAGTGAGAGAGAGGAAGACAGTGAGAAAGCAAGAAACCAGGTCCAGAGCTTGGACCGCAGTCAGCCATGTGGAAATCTGGCACCCCTAACCATGCCACCTGCTGGCCCAATAGTCCTTTTTAACAAAGAGAGGGCAGACCCGGAGTCCTTGGGTAGGGAACTGAATCTAGTTAAAATTTGATATTAGTTTGTTTTGAGCACGATAATGTAGACCATTTTTGCCTACTTATGGCTTTTATAATTGTGGTGATAAGACTGATTGTGAAGTGTGTTTTAGTGTATAAAAGTGAGTGTTCTTCAGAGGATTCTTTAGAGGGGCAGGTTGGGGCCAGCAAGCAGCATAGTGGTTAAGGCAGTGGACGTCTTCTTGGCAACTTTAGTTTGAGTCCTGGACCCCGTGGATTGAAACTCACGCTGGCCATGAGAGCTTGCGTGTCCAAAATCCTGAGAGGAGAATGGGGTAGAAGGGAACAGGGGGGCTCTCACTTTCTGAGTCTTTGTCTCTCCGTCTCTCTCTGGTGAGTACACGTGCCCTATAGCGACAATATCTCCAAAATAAATAAACACATAAATGAATAAATATGAAGGGCATGCTAAAACTCAAGTGAGGGGAAGGGGTGGTCAGCCCTATGGGTTGCTGCTGAAGTGTGTAAAGGGTGTCCTTAACAAACCCCGTTTGCCTTTTCAGTGACTTCGGCTTCAAGATGAGTGAGGATTTGGCATTAGAGGTTTGTGTTCCTGATCCGGAGTTTTCTGGGAAGTCCTACTCCCTTCCCGTGCCTTGTCCTGTGGGTTCCACTTACAGGAGGACGAGGGGGTACGTATCACCGCAGTTGTGTCCGGGCACCAGGGTAGCACGTGGGGTCACAGAGCACAGAATTCCAGAGTTCCAAGTGAGCCGATTGCAGGTTTTCTAGGCAAAAATGCATCATGACTTTCCTGACGACCCAGTAGTTTGGGCAGGATTTAAAACGATGATGTTTATAAACTCTCTCATACCTAGCAAGAAAAAAATAACAAGTCAGAAGGTTCTCTGAGACCGTGGGCATGTCTCCAGTCGTCCCGGCAACAGGGAAGCATCCTCAGAGGGGTGTATGGGGGAGGTGTGTGTAAAAGTGTTGCCCAGGACCCGGTCCTGTGTGGTCTGGGCCTGAAGAGTCTAATTAGACCCAGAACTGACTTGGTATGACTAAACGCCCTTTTGCTCCCTGGAGGAGTGAGCAGAGGAAATCTTTTGCCCGGGGATGGGAAACATGTTCCCAGCGGGAACGTTTCCATGACTGTTCTTTGTCTCTGACCTCTTGCTTCTGGGTTGTGGGGAACAGCTACCGGAAGATTTCCGGGGACACTTGCAGTGGAGGAGATGTGGAAGCACGACTGGAAGGCGAGCTGGTCCCCTGTCCCCTGGCAGGTAAGAAGGTGGCTTTTCTATCAGGTTCTCGAGACATCGTTGAAATGTTATGATCTCAACCAAGACCAGGCAGGTCCATGGTGGGCCCTTCCACCCTCGTGCAGTAAAGCAATGGGCACTTCTGAAGCACTTGATTACCTTTTCTTTTTTTCTTTTTTGAGAGTTTTTATTTTATTTTATTTTATTTTTTTTGTGCTATAGGGCGCGTGTGCTTGCCAGAAAGACAGAGAGAGACAGAGAGACGGAAACCGAGAAATCACCCCCCCCAGGAGGGATGGTCACGCTGCAATCCCTTCTCCTCCATTCTCCTCTCGGGATCTTGGGCAAGCATACACACGTGCTCGGCATGAGTTTAAGCCACCGGGTCTGGGTCTCGAACTGCGGTCGGCTACATGGAGTTCAGCGACACAGCCATTATGCCAACTGCTGGTCCCACATGATTACCTTTTCTCCCCAAGCTGAGCAACCAAACTAAAATTATGTCTAGCCTTACACCTTTATAGGAATGGAAACTATTTTGTGTCTGCTCGGTTTATTGAGGGAAATCCCTTTGTGCATTAAAGAGTTTCTACTCAGCATCGGTTCCCCCCAGGGCTGGGGTACGTGCAGGCTTTTTTTGTGTTCTTTGATCTGTTTGTCAAAGTTGAATGTTAATAAACTTGTGGCTTCTTAGGAAGTAGCTAAGTGGTCTAGCTTAGTTTTAAAATAATAATAATTATAACTAATGTGTTCATGGGATTTTATAGATTTTAATTTCCTTTTTCATGTGTTGCCAGTTTTACCTTTTAACAACCCAGTAAGCAGATGTTATCAGTGGTCTATTTTTTTTTTTTTAAACATGAGGAAGCATGTTCAAAAAGAATTAAAAGACTCAAGGTCACGTATCTTGTAAGCGAAATTAAAATCCACGAAGCCCCATGTTCTTCATTGGGTATCACTCAGTGGCAAAGACGCATCCTTCCCATTATTTTAGATAATTATGTCTGCTAATTAAGAAAAACGCCTTCGAAAAGATTACACTAGAGCTAAGGTATTATGAGTTGCAAAACAAGTTTTCAGTTCATTTAGCAGTGATGTAATATGTTGGGGTATTTTAAATATAAACATGAAGTTATATTACCTTTACGAAAGTGAATTTCCAGGGCGAGTAGGTGGCATGGTGGTTAAAGTGCTGGACTCCCACATAGCAGTCTGCAGTTTGAGACCCCGACCCAGCGACTTGAAAATCATATTGGGTGCGTGTGCATACATGCCCAAAATACCAAGAAGAGAATGAAGGAAAAGGGATTATGGTGTGGCCATCCCCTCTAGGGGGGTGATTTTTCACTTTTCCTCTCTCTGTCTCTATCTCTCTCTCTCCGGTGAGCACATGCACCCTATGGCAAAAAAAAAAAAAAAAAAAAAAATCTAAAGAAAAAAAAAAGTGAATTTCCTAGCCTCTTTTCTTCCTTCATTGTTTCTAGCTCCAGCTTACTTAGAGATGGTTTATACCCTCTCAGTTATGTGTTCACACCTCTTGCTGAGGCTAATGATCGATGCTGACTTCCAGACGCTGTTGATGCAGGGAACGCCTCGATGGCCAGCAAAATCACGAGACAGCAAGAGAGCGAACGTTGTCTTTGGGCAGGGCAGGGCAGGGCAGGGCAGGGCAGAGCAGCACAGCCCTCCCTGGCTCACCGCCTGCCAGCCGGCCCTGGCACTTTTCATGCTAAGCTCATTAGTCCCTTAATTTAATCTTCCATCATTAGCAGGATAATTAACACACCTCACTGTGGAGCCTCACAAAGAACCACCGCTTCAGCAGATTCCTACACACAAGCAGATAACGCTCCAATATTCCCCTCCCAAGAGCTGTTATCGAGGAGGGCTGGATTAGCAGGTTTGAGTGTTTGCTCTTAAGGGGCTGGAGTACATACTTTTGTAATAAATATTTCCGAAGATAATGCGGCCAGGGACAAACCAGTTTGTTTAAAGCCATCGAAACTGACAGGCAGGCTGTTTTCTCTTCTGGTAGGAGAGGATAGAACAGGGAATGAAGTGGAAAAATCTCATTTCAGTGTCGGGCCGTCTCCTCAATGGGAAAGAGATGACAAAGGCAGGGAATAGGAAGGTGGGCCTGCACCAAGAAAGAAAAAGACTGTTTTATGGGAGTAATGGCAACCGTAACAGCTTTGCAAAGAAGAGCTCATCTGAGCATCTGGAAGATTTTTTATTTACATGTTCTTGATTTTTAGAGGTTTTTTCCGTAGAGCACGTGCACTTGCCATAGAGAGACAGAGACTGTGAGAGGGAAAGTGAGACGTCATCCCCAGGGGGGATGGCTACACCACCACGATCCCTTCTCCTCCATTCTCCTCTTGCAATCTTGGACACGCATGCACACGCACCCATCATGAGTTTCAAGCCACAAGGTCTGCGACTCAAACCACGGTTGGACATGTGGGAGTCTAGTGATGTAACCACTACACCATCTGCTGGCCCCTGGAAGAGTTATTTATTTATTTATTTATTTACTTGGAGGGATTTTGCTATATATAAATAATATTTATTTATTTGGAAGGTTTTGCTATAGAGAGAGACAGAGAGACAGAAAGCGAGAAATCACCCCCGGGGGGATGGCCACGCCGCAATCCCCTCTCCTCCATTCTCCTCTCAGGATCTTGGGCATGCCTGCACAGGTGCCCGGCATGAGTTTAAGTCACTGGGTCTGGGACTCAAACCACGGTCAACTATATGGGAGTCCAACGACATAGTCATTACGCCAGCTGCTGGTCTCGCCCTTGAAAAAATTTGTACAATGTGTAGTTTTTCCTCCTGTATGGTTCCTCTCCTGACATGTCCTCCCAGGGCCGGGGGCTCTGCTCCCCATCCAGGTAAGGACAGCATGCCGGCACATTGCCTGTTTGCTACCTAATCCTAAAAAGGTGTCTGGACTCAGACTTTCCTGGAAGCGCATGGTTTCTTAGGAGAAGAAAACAAAGTAGAGAACGAGGTTTATAGACACTAGGGGCCCTGGGGGGTGGAAGGGTTGCTGCTGTGATGCATCCCGACTACCCCCGGGAATGACAGTGGGAAGGTTCTCTTGAAAACCAAAAGAGAGGTTAGTTATGGTGGTTGTTTGTGTACACCTGGAGTGAAGTGAGACCAAAGGACAAGAAGGCCAATTGATCATTTTTTCTTTTCTTTTCTTTTTCTTTTTTAAGAATTATTTATTTATTTAACTCAATTTGTTATTACTGTTTTTTAATTTGACCAGAGAGAGAAAGGGAAAGTAAGAAAGCAAACTGCCAAGTCTGGGACTCAAACCACAGTTGATCATGTAGGAGAACCCGCCGTTGGCCATGTGGGGGTCCAGCCCCTTTAACCACCATGCCACTGTCTTTCTTTTTTAAGAGAGATTTTTGCTGTAGGGCTCGTGCACTCACTGGAGAGACAGAGAGTTGGAAAGTGAGAAGTCACGCCTCTGGGGGGATGGCCACACTGTAGTACTTACTCTCTCCAGATTTGGGGCATGCACACACGCCCAGTGTGTCGGGTCCAGGATTTGCACCAAGGTTGACTGCGTGGGAGTCCAGCAATGTAACCATTCCGCCATCTGCTGGTCGCCATTATTTTTTTAATCTTAGCCATTCTGACTGGGGTGAGGTGGTATCTTACTTGGTTTTGATTAGCATCTCCCAAAATATGTATGGTAATATCTTTGACTGGACTAATATGCAGTGTATTCATGCTAGAAAAAAATGAATAAATGAATGAATGAATGAATGAACAGATTTTTTTTTTTTTTTTAAAGAAGCCCAGTTTACCTTACTGAAACATGTAGGTGGATTTGTTCTTTGGATGCACTGTCTGTATTGAAGCCTTTATAGAAGAGGTGGTGTACATGCTAACACATTGGATAAATGGAATGGGGTGGGGAAGGAGGGAGGAAGCAGAGAGAGAGAGACCGCGGTTGGAGTCCCGGACCCGGTGGCTTAAACTCACGCCGGGCGCGTGTGCGTGCATGCCCAAGATCCCGAGAGAAAGGAGGAGAAGGGATTGCAGTGTGGCCATCCCCCCTGGGGTATTTCTCACTTTCTCTCTGTCTCTTTCTGTCTTTCTGGTGAATGCACATGTCCTGTAGCAAAAACCTCTCCAAAGAAAGAAAGGAAAAAATTAAAGTGCTGGTTCTCACATGACTAGCTCCACAGTTTGAGTCCTGGACCCACCACCTTGAAAAACATACCAGGCACATGTGCGTGCGTGCCCAGCATCCAGGAGGAGAATGCGGAAGAAGGGATTGTGGTGTGACCATCTCTGGGGGGCGCTATTTCTCACTCTCCCTCTCTGTCTCACTCTGGCCAGCGCATACACCCTATGGCAAAGATCTAAAACAAAAATGAGAGCACTCACTGATTGTCTGCTATTAGGTGAAGCCTCTTAAACTCTCTGGGTCTCTATTTCTGAATCTTAGAGAATGGCAAGCCAGGGAGCTGGTTTAAAGAAAGGCTCTGGATTCAGGCTGCCTTGGTTCAGATCTTGCTTGTGCTGTTTACTAGTCATGTGATCTGGGGTGACTTATTTAGCCTCTCAGTCTCAGTTTTCTCATTTTTAAACTGGCTTAATAGGGATCAGCAGATGATGTAATGGTTACATTGCTGGACTCCCACGTAGTTGAGCGGTTCGAGTTCTGGACCTGGGGCTTAAAACTCATGCCAGGCGTGTACACATGTGTGCCCGAAATCTTGAGAGGAGAATGGAAGAGAAGGGATTATGGTATGGGCATCCCCGGAGGGGGTGATTTTTTTGCTTTCTGTCTCTTTTCTGTCTCTATGGTGAGCGTACATGCCCTATATCAAAATTCTCTCTCTTTAAAAAAAAACAAACTGGCTTAGTAACAGTTCCCCCATAGCACAGTTGTCAGGATTGAACAATGCCTGGTGCGCAGGAGATGCGCGAGGTAAGTATGTGTTAAGTAGAAACAGAACCTTTGTGATGGTTATGTCATGAGCAAAGCGTTTTGCACGCATTCAGAAACGAGGGTCGTATTACTGTTTTGAAGATCTGGTGTGTTGTCACAATTACCCGCTCATCCTGAGCAGCGTGAGCAAGTAAGCAGATCGATTCGAAAACTCGGTTTCGAGTCTTCGATGACGAATGGTCTGTAGTCAGCGAGATGCCGGCGCCGTGCGTGCAGTGACCCGCAGGGAGTGCCGTGGTGCATCTCTTTATGTTGACGAGTGTGACTGAAGACTCGAGGCTGAGCTCAGAGCTAAAAGGGAGCCTAGTGGGGAGGTCTAGATGAAAGATTTAAAAGCAAACACCGACCTGCCTGCCGTTCTGTGCCTGGCAGAAGAGAACGAGTTCATCCTGTACGCCACGCGCAAGTCCATCCACCGCTACGACCTGGCCTCGGGGGCCACCGAGCAGCTGCCCCTCGCGGGGCTGCGGGCCGCCGTGGCGCTGGACTTCGACTACGAGCGCAATTGCCTGTATTGGTCAGACCTGGCTCTGGACCTCATTCAGGTGAGTCAGCCCTGGCGCGGGCCTGCAGGCCTGCCTTGGGACACCCGAGCCTGCTGCGCTTCAAGCAGAGAGGCCTCCACGAACAGATAGTGACAAGTTGTGGGAACCAGACGGTGGAGCAGTGGTAACGCATGGCAAGGTCCCTGGTTCGTGTTCCTGGACATCCCCGTACATGTGTCAGGTATGTGCATGTGCGTGCATGCGCACACTTGATGTGGTTGATCTGGCCTTGCAGCGGCTGGAAGTGGATTGCATTGTGAGGAGCTGCTGGGAGTATCCTCCTGTCTTTATCTGTCCCTCTCATAGAAGGGAAAAAAAGGGCCAACGGATGAAACTGTGCCATTTTCTCTTTCAGTATTTTTCTTTTCTTTTCTTTGCCTACCTTGGTCTAAATGAAAAGCATAAAGAAGGCCCTAAACCCACAGGCTTGCAACTGAGGTTGCACACTTCCTGCTGGCGAGACGTGGGGCCTAGTGATAATAGTTGCTTCCTACCAGGCCCCCTGTCCCGTTAGTGTCTTTCTTTTCAAGTCATGATATGATAACACTCAGTTTAGCCGTAGTTCACGTAATTGTCCACTTCGGCCATCCCAAACGCTTTCAAGAACCAGGTAGTAAGCATTAAAGAATCCTGTGTGGCGGTCCAGCAGGTGGCATGGTGGTTAAGGCACTGCCCTCCCACATGGCTGATTATGGTTTGAGTCTTGGGCCTGGTATCTTGGGACTCACACTAGGCACGTGTGTGTGCGTGTGACTCCAAAATCCTGAGAGGAGAATGGAGGAGAAGGAATTGCAGCATGGCTGTCCCACCTGGGGGTGATTTCTTGCTTTTTCTCTTTCTGTCTCTCCAGTGAGCACATCGGCCCTGTAGCAAAAATCTCTCAGAACAAAACAAAAAACCCTGCCTTCATTACCTGGAAAGTTCGCTGACATAGAACATCCCAGCCCTCACCCATCAAGCCCGTTGAATACTGGGCGACCATGCCCGCCCGACTTGGAAGAAGGTTTTCTGAGATGTCACAGCACCCCCTGTTCTTTCCCTCTCTGCAGCGCCTGTGTTTGAACGGGAGCACGGGGCAAGAGGTGATCATCAGTTCCGGCCTGGAGACAGTGGAAGCACTGGCTTTCGAGCCCCTCAGCCAGTTACTTTACTGGGTGGATGCTGGCTTTAAGAAGATCGAGGTGGGTGTGCTCCCGGGCTGCTCGTCATTAAGCCAGCAGGTGGGGCACCTGGGCTTTGAGCCAGATTTGACACCCAGGTAGGAGCTGTGAGTCGGATTACCCTGGAAATTTCCCAAGAATTTCCAGTGACTTTATCAGCCGAGCCTCTGGGGAAGGGAGTCCAGGGGGGTACTCAGAATGATCATTCCCTGCCACAAGGCTCCCACGTGATCGCAGAGATCTCGTTAAGGGGTCTGGAAGTTTCCATCTTGCAGAGGGGCAAGAAGCACCACAAAGCTGTGGCATTACCGTGATGTTGTAATGATGGCCTAGTGTTACTTGGTTAGACACAGTCACGGCGACAGACAGTGTCATCGTCATTGTCATTAATTGCCACTTCACTTATCCGCAGCCTAGTGGCCTAGTGACTTCTGCAGCTCAGTATGCCCAAGGCAGCACAGGGTCATGATGGTCTCTGAATTGCCAAAGCATGGTCTTGAGGGGCACAGGTACACTCCGTTCCTGTAGGGTACAGCTGCCCGGGCCCTGCGTCAGCACCTGCACGGACTCCGAAGGGCCATCAGGGACGTGTTTGTGGGCAGGCACCGGCCGAGTAGGAGACTTTGTGAGGTGTGTCTTTAAGGCACTCAGATGCATCTCTGCCTTGCCTCCTCTTTTTGTCAGGTGGCTAATCCAGACGGTGACTTCCGCCTCACCATTGTCAATTCCTCTGTGCTCGATCGGCCTCGGGCTCTGGTCCTGGTGCCCCAAGAAGGGTAAGTGTGCCCCAAAGGGAATCCGCATTGCATCAGATGCTGCGGCAGTTCCACCTTATGAAAATGCAGACCACTGGACACAGACTGTTTCTCATAATTACGGTTGAAATCATCTACTAACTGAGATTTTTGAAACCGTCAATTAGTCACTTTTGTCAGGTAACTCCGTTCGCTTTTCATTAGCAGCACCACGAAGCTCCGTAGGTGACCAGATGTCTTACATTGCCTTACCTCTGGAAAAGGTAGCGGGAGTCCCTGCAGGCAGAGGCAGGCCTGCTTGGGTGTTGCAGGGATTCTTGATCTTGTGTTTCATGCCTGATGCAAACGTTTAATTCCTCCCATCTTGGCTGCGCCCACGCCTCCTATTCGCAATGAATATGCACTTGAGGAGTGCCGCGGTGCTTTTCATAGCTCATTAACTGATGGAAGCATCGCTAAGGAAAGTTCTGCATTAGCCTTCCTGGTCTTTCCTCTGTCCTAGCGTTTATGATTGAGAATTAAGAGACAATTCACGGGGCCAGCAGGTGCAGTGGTGGTTAAGGGCGTGGACTCTCACATGGCTGACTGCGGTTTGAGTCCCAGACTTGGAGGCTTACTTTCTCACTTTTTCTCTCTCTCTTTCTCTTTCCTTACTCTGTCCTTCTATGGTCAAATTAAAATCAATCAATCAATAAATAAAGTTAAATAAAATAATTCTTAAAGATAATTCACAAATTTACCTGCTTGTTTAAAATATTAAAAAAGAAACAAGTTTATGAAATGAAACATATTTGTTTCTTCCATTTTCATTCTTTTTTTTTTTAAACAGAGATTTTGCTCTAGGGTGTGAGTGCTCACCGGAGATTCAGAAACAGTGAGAGGGAAAGTGAAAAATCACTCTCCAGAGAGGATGGCCACGCTGTAATCCCTTCTCCTTCATTCTCCTCCTGGGATCTTGGGCATGCACACATACAGTCAGTGTGAGTTTCAAGGCACCGGGTCTAGGACTTGAACTGCAGTCGCCATGTGGGAGTCCAGGATCTTAACCTGCTGGCCTACTGTGTTCTCATTCTTAAACCTTCACTCTATACTTCCTGGGGGTAACAGCCATTGATGGTTTGTGTGTCATTCACAGTTGTTTTCACCCCATGCAGAAGTTGTCCTGAACACACACACACACACACACACACACACACACACCCCAAGGGCAATCATTATGGCTACGGCGTACTTCTTTTTGAAAGCAGTTTGCGTGAGCACATTCAGAGCTATAGGTCTGACCGCACCCTCCAGCATGTGCACCACGATGTATTGCATCCCCTGTTGGTGAATATCTAGGCCAATTGACATATATGTACGTTTCTTTGTCCATTATCTTTGTATTTCATCTTCATAATTTGCTGCTATCCATAGACACGTTCCAGTAGAGGAATCTCTGGGCCGAGGAACGAAGTGGTGTCAGATACTGTGATTACAGGCTGATGTCATGTGCTGTCATGGCCAGCCTGATTGTTCGAGAGGGTTTCTTCCCTATTTGGAGTAGTGCATGAGTTCCCATCTCTAGGTGTGGTGGGCCATGTGCTCTGTCCTTGTTTTGACCAGGGTGATGTTCTGGACCGACTGGGGTGACCTGAAGCCTGGGATTTATCGAAGCAACATGGACGGTTCTGCCACCTATCGCCTGGTGTCTGAGGACGTGAAATGGCCCAATGGCATCTCCGTGGACGACCACTGGATCTACTGGACAGATGCTTACCTGGACTGCATCGAGCGGATCACCTTCAGTGGCCAGCAGCGCTCGGTCATCCTGGACAACCTCCCACACCCCTATGCCATTGCCGTCTTCAAGGTGGGTCTCCACGGGTGCCCCTCGGCAGCGTGCTCGCGTGAGTAAGGAGCACACTGAGGGTGGGAGCTGCCGGCCCTGGGTCTCACAGAGGTGCCGCATCACTTCCAGCAGATGGGCTCCTGTCTGTACTGAGATCATTTAGGTTGGCCCATATGGAGGAATGCCAACCAAAGTGCCGGGTCTAATAGCTTCTTTTTTTTTTTTTGGAAGAGGTTCTTGCTATAGGGCATGTGCGCTCGCCAGGAAGACAGAGAATGATAGAGACAGAAAGCGAGAAATCACCCCCCAGGGGGGATTTCCCTTCTCCTCCATTCTCTTCTCGGGATCTTGGGCATGAACGCACACACGCCCAGTGTGAGTTTAAGCCACTGGGTCCAGGACTCAAACTGCGGTCGACTACATGGGAGTCCAGCGACATAGCCATTATGCTAACTGCTGGTCCCATAGCTTCTTCTTCTTTTTCTTTTTTTTTTTTTAAGTGGTTTTTGCCACAGGGTGCATACACTTCCTAGAGAGACAGAGACAGACAGAGCAAAAGTGAAAAATCAACCCCCAGGGGGATGGCCATACCACAATCCTTTCTCCATTCTCCTCCTCGGATCTTGAGCATACACACACACATACTCACTGTGATTTTCAAGCCACCAGGTCCAGACTCGAACCACAGTTGATCATGTGGGGGAGTCCAGCAATGGAACCACTGTGCCATCTGCTGGTCCTAGGAGATCTAATAGCTTCTAATACTGTTCACCTTTCATAAGATTAAACGTTAGGTACTTCCCACAAGCGTTCCCGGTTTGTCCTTCAGTGTGTGTGGCTGGATTTAGGATCCGCGTCCTCCTGTGCTGTGTGGTGTGCCTGCTTTATCCTGGTGACCTTGCATAAGCTCTGCACACCTCTGCCACCCTTCACTGCTGTTTGACTCCAGAGAACAAGGTGGTTCTTCCTGGCACTGGAAAACAGGTTGCAAACTAAGGGGTTCGGGCTATGGTTGTGTCTGAGTGTTTATCAGACGGAGTTACTCTGCAGTAGCTCCTTCAGTGTGGACAGTTGATGCGATTTAAACAAAATCATTGACTCTTGGGTTTAAGTGAATCCCGAGCAGACCAGTGATTCAGCCAATGACTGTTAGTTGTCCTGCCCGGGGGAGCCTCATCCTTGCAGAGTCTGGAATAAAGCCCCGGGGACCTGGGCTAACTGGCCATGGTGTTCTTTTCAGAATGAAATCTACTGGGACGATTGGTCCCAGCTCAGCATCTTCCGAGCTTCCAAGTACACCGGGTCCCAGATGGACGTTCTGGCGAGCCAGCTCACAGGCCTGATGGACATGAAGATTTTCTACAAGGGGAAGAACGCTGGTAAGGCAGTCTTCTTCCTTGTCTCTCCGGAAAGGGGCGGCGTGTGGGCCATCTCTGCTCAGAGCAGGATCTGGCAGCCTGCATCTCTGTTGTCACGACAACATACGCATTATTTAATTTCTTCCTAATGACATCTTAATTCCTTTTCTAATGATACACAAACAGCTGGAAGACAGCATGCTTTCACCCGCCTCGAGAGCTGGTGTGTGGTGGGTAATTACACCCTCCTCCCTGCCCTGGGCCCTCACTGATGGGTGGTGTGGCTGTGGTGCAGCTGGGGAGGCCCAGCGTGTGCCTAATCCCCGTCTGGCACACGTTAGGAGGCGACGCTGTTCTGGGCGGTAGGCAGGTGGTGTGTCCCAGCAGGGCCCTCGTTCTCTGGCTGACCTCTGCTGCTCACTGAGCAGACCGACCTCTGCTGCAGTGCTTACGTGTGGCTTTAATTCATTTCCTTGCCACGAAACTTTAACCCCACAAAGGAGAAGTCTTTTTTTTTTTTTTTTCTCAACAAGTTTACTAGTGCCTACAACGTTGTAGGTGTTCATTTTATATTTTTGAAAGAAAAGGGATAGGAGAGCCACCATGGGTGTTTTAGAGAACAGTTGGTGGGGCAAGCCTGAGAACCTCGACAAAGGTTTTTTGTTTGTTTGTTTGTTTTGTTTTTTTTTTTTTTGAGAGATTTTTGCTATAGGGTGTGTGCACTCACCAGAGAGACAGACAGAGACAGAGAGACAGAAAGTGAGAAATCACCCCCAGCGGGGATGGCCACGCCGCCATCCCTTCTCCTCCATTCTGCTCTCCAGATTTTGGGCACACACGCACACACGCTGGGTGTGAGTTTCAAGCCGCTGAGTCTGGGACTTGAATCATGGTCATCCACATGCCGTACCTACTACACCCCGTGCTGGCCCCGTGTGACAGGGCTTCGACCGCCTGTGTCCTAGTCTGAGGCTGCAGTAGAAGGCCTTCTCCCTTCTCTGCCCTTTACCTTTACTCGTCTCTCAACCAGGCCCTTGAGTCAGGAGGAGAAAGATCAGGTTTCCAAGAAGAAAAGTTCCTGTAAGAATTGCCGTCTTTATCTCAGCGGGATTAAATAGCAGCCCGGGTCGGCCGACTCTCCTTTATTGACAAATTGCTAGGTTTCCTGTTTTGCACTAGAATGTTGATATCGTGTTGTGGTTCTTGGCTGACCCAGTGCTAAGAGAGGATTGACAGGGGAAATAATACAGTTCCAGACACAATCGTTGCCGTGGGAATGAATGGAGAGAGCGTGAGATACCCTTAGAAAGCTCTGGGGCGTCCTGCAGATGCAAGCCGGCGTCCCTCTCATGTCTTCACACCGAGCTGAGGGAGAGAAGATTTGTAGGTCAGGGAATTAAGTCTTGGGTATTAATTAGCTTTCCTGAGTGCCCTCACTGGCTTAGGAGCTGGGCTTTTGTCACAAACAGAGAAGTCACTTTCTTCCCTGGAGGAGACGAAGGAGGTGCCTCAGCTCCAAGGACTGACATCTCTGGGCCTTTGGGACAGAGGACCCCCGGCTCTGCTGATCGGCCCTGCTTGCTAGTAGAGTAGATTTTCAGCCTTTCTCTAAGTACTTCTTAGTGCAGAAGAGCAGGACTGCATTTTGGGTTTTTGTTTTTGTTTTTGTTTTTGTTTTTTTACCTTTTTTTGGAGAGTTTTTTTGCTATAGGGCACGTGTACTTGCCAGAAAGACAAGAGACAGAAAGTGAGAAATCACCCCCCAGGGGGATGACCACACCGCAGTCTCTTCTCCTCCATTCTCCTCTTGGGACCTTGGGCACACGTGCACACGCACCGGAGTGAGTTTAAGCCACTGGGTCCAGGACTCGAACCGCGGTTGACTACATGGGAATCCAGCCACATAGCCATTATGCTAACTGCTGGTCCCAGGACTGCATTTTAACAAGTGCTTGAGAGCGTGGTTTGAATTCCAGGGGCAGTTCCTGAAACACCGTGCTCAGAGGGTGCCCACGGCCCCGGGTTGCCCGCTCCCTGGCCTTGGCTGGTCCCTTCGTCCCAACAGCATGAGCCCAGCTGATGTTCAGTCACACCTGTGACGTGGGGAGCAGCATAGGGGAGATCGTAGGGTGAGCATTGCTTCTGTGGTCCCCTGGAGCCCAACAAGCAGGCCTTTCTTCTCACCTCAGGTGTGATTTCCCCTTCATGCCTCAGAGTCACCTTCATTTGAACTAACTCTAATAATTCGGAGGGTCGAGGAGGGATCTGGGTAGAGGAAGGGCCAGTTTAAAGGGAAGATGCATGCTGGTGGATAGAGCACTGGCTCGGAGCTCTGCAAGGCGGCTGTGGTTGGGCAGGATGGCGGTGCAGCAGTGAACGATGCTGGGCTAGGACGTGGGGGGTTCCAGGCTCGTGTCCAGTGATCTCCCCAGTTGCACCAGGCATGCACATGCCCAAGATCTGGGCCAGCTGAAGTGGAGAGGGATCCCAGCGTCCAGAGCCTGTTAAGGGTGCTGTCTCTCTGTTTCTGTCTCTGGTCATAGAAGAAATACATAAATAAGGGGCCAGCAGTGGCATAGTGGGTAAGCTGCTGGACTCCCATGTGGTTGACCATAGCTCAAGCTGGCGGCTTGAAACCCACACCAGGCACATATGTGCATGTGCCCCAAATCCCTAGAGAATGGAGGAGAAGGGATTCAGGCATGGCCCTCCCCCTTGAGGGGTGATTTCTTGCTTTCTGTCACTCCAGCGAGCACATGCACCCTATAGTAAAAGTCTAAAAAGAGATTTCAGGCTAGGGCCTCTGTACTCCTTTCTGCATTTTGACTTTGGGATTCTTTTTTATTCTCTTTGGGCTGTGAGCTTGATACTTGTAGGAAACTCCTGCCTACAAACACAGGGCCAGAGCCCAAGCTTGTCACCTCTCAGCCAGTTTGGGTTAGATCAAACCCTTAGCAGTGCCATCTGGCCATTAGCACTGTCTGTGCGCCGCTGGCCACGGGTCCTGACCTCGTTCACTCTAACCCCCTGCACGTTTGGACACCGGGAGAGTTTGCAAATTCTCCATGCCGACTGGCAAGCCCCGATGAGACTCGGGCGGTGAGATTTTTATTGTCTGCTCCTAGCACATGCAGGGCTTTTTATTAGCCAAGTGTAAAATACTAATTATAACAACTGTATTTATGAGGGAAGTGTTGTGTCATAAACACCACAGTAATGTGCTTTTTGGACTTGTAGAACCTCCTTTTGTATTTCCAGAGACTTCCATGGATGTCATTAATATCTCCATTTTATAGACAAGAACGTGGAAGTTAGACCACCCAGGTCACACACGTAGTAAGTGGAAAGAATTTGAACCGTGGCTTCTTAGACTTCCAAGTTTGAATTTCAATAAAACCATTAGGTCCTGCGCCCCCAGTCTTCCATTCCTGGTATCGCAGGGTTGTGGTAATAGGCAGTATTTATTTAGATGTATTTGTTTAAAGATGAGGATTTGCAACAAGAATTTTGTTCACGTGAAACATTTACGTATGTCCTTTTTCTCTTTGTTCCTGACCGAGTTAAGAGTATTACTGGAATGTGTTCCCTGTAGGTGCTTTGTCCTTGGAGAGGTTCCGTAGTGAGGTGTCTGATGTGTTCTGGAGTCGCTGCAGTGACTTCGCAGTGGAGGTTCTCCTTCCCAGCCTGCAGTGAGGACGTGCTTGGAAGCGTCTGTAATGAGGGCAGACCTTCCTCACTTGTGGTGGCTTTTATTTGAACAGTTGCCAAGTGTGAAGTTCCTTAAGGGCGATAGTAGCGTTTGGGCTCCTAAACGGTTTCTGGAGGAATTTTCCAAAGAAGAAATCTGAAGACATTTTGAATGTGCCCAGTGGTGACATCGCAGGGCCGTGTTGGTTACCTCAGGGGCAGTCTGTGATGAGGACGGCCCTCACTTGCCCACTTGTCACAGGGGCTGACACTCTTCCTGTTTTGCTCCTTGCTCCTCAAGGCAGCGGATCTCCTGGGTAAGGAGACCCTGTTAGTGCTCCTCGCCCCCCATCCAGGCTTTCCCGCATAGGGATTCCCATTTTATTATTATTTTTAAAATTAGTTTTTCTTTTTTTAAAAAGAATTATCTATTTAATTTTTTTTTATTATTTCTAAATTTACTATAGGGCACATGGACTCACCAGAGAGAGAGAGAGAGAGAGAAAGTAAAGTGAGAAAGCAAGCCACCAGGTCTAAGATTAGAACTGTAGTTGGCCATGTGGGAGTCCAGTGCCCCAGCCACCACACCGTCTGCTGTTTTCCCCCACCCCACTGTCCCCCCCATTCTCTTTTTTTCCTTTCTCTCTCTCTCTCTCTTTTTTTGTGTGTGTGTTTTTAGGATTTTTGTCACAGGGTATATGCACTCACCAGAGAGAGACAGAGAAATACAGAGAGAGGGAAAGTGATAAATCACTCCCTGAGAGGATGACCATGCTGTAATCCTTTCTCTTCCATTCTCCTCTCAGGATTTTGGGCACATACCCACATAGACTCAGCATGATTTTCAAGCTGCTGGGTCCAGGACTTGAACCCGGTCAGCCATGTGGGAGATCAGCATCTTTCTTTTTTTTTTTTTTTATCTTTTTTTTTTGGAGGGGTTTTTGTTTTAGCACAAACAGAGAAGTCACTTTCTTCCCTGGAGGAGACGAAGGAGGTGCCTCAGCTCCAAGGACTGACATCTCTGGGCCTTTGGGACAGAGGACCCCCGGCTCTGCTGATCGGCCCTGCTTGCTAGTAGAGTAGATTTTCAGCCTTTCTCTAAGTACTTCTTAGTGCAGAAGAGCAGGACTGCATTTTGGGTTTTTGTTTTTGTTTTTGTTTTTGTTTTTTTACCTTTTTTTGGAGAGTTTTTTTGCTATAGGGCACGTGTACTTGCCAGAAAGACAAGAGACAGAAAGTGAGAAATCACCCCCCAGGGGGATGACCACACCGCAGTCTCTTCTCCTCCATTCTCCTCTTGGGACCTTGGGCACACGTGCACACGCACCGGAGTG